ATGAACAGAAAAATAAATGACCCAATCAAAAAATGGGCCAAAGATCTAAACAGACATTTCTCCAAAGAAGACATACAGATGGCTAACAAACACATGAAAAGATGCTCAATATCACTCATTATCAAAGAAATGCAAATCAAAACCACAATGAGGTACCATTACACACCAGTCAGAATGGCTGCTATCCAAAAGTCTTCAAGCAATAAATGCTGGAGAGGGTGTGGAGAAAAGGGAACCCTCTTAACTGTTGGTGGGAATGCAAACTAGTACAGCTGCTATGGAGTACAGTGTGGAGATTTCTTAAAAAACTGGAAATAGAACTGCCATATGACCCAGCAATCCCACTTCTGGGCATACACACTGAGGAAACCAGATCTGAAAGAGACATGTGTACCCCAATGTTCATCGCAGCACTGTTTATAGTAGCCAGGACATGGAAGCAACTAGATGCCCATCAGCAGACCAATGGATAAGGAAGCTGTGGTACATATACACCATGGAATATTACTCAGCCATTAAAAAGAATTCATTTGAATCAGTTTTAATGAGATGGATGAAACTGGAACCCATTATACAGAGTGAAGTAAGCCAGAAAGATAAACACCAATACAGTATATTAACACATATATATGGAATTTAGAAAGATGGTATTGATAACCCTATATGCAAGACAGAAAAAGAGACACAGATGTATAGAAGAGACTTTTGGACTCTATGGGAGAAGGCGAGGGTGGGATGATCTGAGAGAACAGCATCAAAACATGTATATTATCAAGTGTGAAACAGATCGCCAATCCAGGTTGGATGCATGAGACAAGTGCTCGGGGCTGGTGCACTGGGATGACGCAGAGGGATGGGGTGGGGAGGGAGGTGGGAGGGGGGTTCAGGATGGGGAACACATATAAATCCATGGCTGATTCATGTCAATATATGGCAAAAAACCACTATAATATTGTAATGTAATTAGCCTCCAACTAATAAAAATAAATGAAAAAAAATACTTAAAAAAAAAAAGAATTCTACTTGTTCCTCTAGTCATCTTAGAACATTTTTAACACTCTTTAGGGTAGTAGGTGGGGGCTGCAAATGAAGATCATTTGAGGTCCCATTTCTAAAGTCACAGGGCAGAGTTTGAGCAGTCACACTGAGTACAGTTGAGCATTTCTACGTGTGTCTGTGCACTGCATACCTATGTGATATTTTAAAACACCAAAAAAATATATAAAATTATGAGCAAAAGCAGAATATTGCCAAGAAAAGATATTTTTAAAGTCAATCATCTGCAGAACCGAACTTGACAAATGATTGCTGTCTCCTGACATTCCTTCAACAGAGACTTAAACATCCTTAAGTGTTAAAATAATTGCGACAACATCAATGACTGTGATTCTTAGTCTTTTGCAGCAATGTAAAAAAATCTTAATTATCTTGAGTAACATTTTATGGATGAATCAAATCACATTACATGTCTTGTAAACCTCACAGTCTCTTTATAATTTCTCTAGGATCTCATCAGGGAGATTCAGAGACATGGCTCAAGAGGACTTGGGTGACAATTCAGAGCTCTGGTGAATTTTAATGTGCATTCTACTACATAATAAAACATCTAATTCTTTTCACCAAATAGATAAGGAGTAGGAGACAGGATTAGTGTTATTTCCATGGCTGTCTCAAGGAGGGACAAGATTCAATGGTGAAAAGACTAGAATTTAGATGAATTCTCAGGTGAGTGGTATGGTATTTTAATAATTAATTTTTAAACCCAAAACTGTTTAGTGAAAGATTTGCTCTCTCCATCACTTACCAGAAGAATTGAAGAATTTATAAAATTATATCTGCAGACATACCACTGTGTGGTTCAGCACAGATTAAACTCTCATACCTGTTTCTATTTCTGACTTTACCACCAAGTAACTCTGATCCTGAGATTACCTTGACCTTTCCTTTGTGTCTTCAAACATCTGTTATTTTTCTTGAGGTGGTCCCTCAAGATGAAGAGGAATTTGACAATTACTTGATGAGTTATATTGACAGCAAAAAAGGCAGTTTCCTGGTCTTTTCTAATAACATATGCTAGAAGTGCTGTCCATGTTGGTCAAGTTAGCTAGCTGCTTCTAAACAGATTTTTTTTTTTTCTTTTGCTCCATAGAGATGCAACATGTGATAATGGAGGCTATGTTTTACCTGTGGTTGGAAAAGAATTTTAAGGAAAGATGAAACAGTTCAGCTCACAGGACTCACACCTACTTTGGAGGAAGATAATTAGGAGTATAAAGGACTTTTAGCTTATTTTCCAATGCCATTAAAATCCAGACAGTGACTTTTTTTTTTTTTAGTGGAAATCAGTTAAAGTTTTGTTTTTTCCAATCAAATTCAGCCATAGGCAGTGTTCTTTAAAAAATTTTTTTTATTTTATATTGGCATATAGCTCAGTTGGTAAAGAATCCACCTGCAATGTGGGAGACCTGGGTTTGATTTCTGGGTTGGGAAGATCCCCTAGAGAAGGGAAAGGCTACCCATGGACTGTATAGTCCACAGGGTCGCAAAGAATCAGACATGACTGAGCAACTTTCATTTCGCTTCACATAGTTGATTTACAATGTTATGTTAGTTTTAGGTGTACAGAGAGTGAGTGACCTTTATAAAATGGTTTAGGAAGAAAGAGAAGTTGCTGTACCAATACAATGCTCATTCAGGGCAGAAAACAGTTTTCTGTGTAACAGGTTTTTTTCCTCTCCTTCACTTAACAAAACAGACAAGTAGTGGCCACCCGTATGGCTTATGTAAGTTCATTAACTTATAGCTACACAGCTAAGGTGAAAACAGAAGCCCCAAGCCAGGCTGGGTGATACCACGCACACACAGGTTATCATAGCTAGCTTTGATATACCAGGTACTGCTGGAGAAGGGAATGGCAATCCACTCCAGTAATCTTGCCCGCAGAATTCCGTGGATGGAGGATCCTGGTGGGCTACAGTCCATGGGGTCACAGAGTCAGACACGACTGAGCGACTAACACAACACAGCCAGGTACTGTGTCCTAGGTGCTGGGGACACAGTGTTAACAAGGTGGAACTAGCTGAAAACCTGGTGTGATGACTGTTGTGAAGTGGGATCAGTAGGAAGACTGGGGAACGTAATTAGGGGGTTAATCTAGTTGGTGGGAGGCTGTGAGGGAAATTCACTCAGGAAGTGAGTAGTTAAAGAAGTAAGTAGTTATGAGGAAGCGGTAGTTAAGCTGAGACTTGAAGGCTGAGTAGGAGTAAGCCAGCTGAAGGAGAGGTGCATTAAGGAAGGAGAAACAGCATGCGCAAAATACCTGAGACCAACGAGAACCTTCCCCATTCAAGGAAACTGAAGAAAGTGGACCATGAACAGCAAAGGAGAGTGCCTCCTGAAATGAGCTAGCCAAGAAGGCAAGGCTGACTGAGACGCCAGCTCCTTTCTTCCCTCACAGTAAAGAACAGGTAGCAGTGGTATAATTTTGGCTGTGGCCATTGCTCAGATTTGAGGTGTGCCAGTCTCAAAGCCACCTTTCTTATCTTAGAGCTGACGTGAAATCATCAGATCTTCACCTACTTATTTATTTTTTGCCAGATGGATGTTACATTGCCAACTCCCCCCACTACTTTGCAGAGGTGTAACAGACAAAACTCTAAAATATTTAAAGTATACAACCTAATGATTTGATATGCATATATATTGTGAGCGGATGTCTAAAATTGAGTTATTATTAGTACAAGTTTATAGCATTTAAATCTTAGGGCCAACAAACTCTTAACTCTACATTCTATCATAGGTATTAAGTCGGTACTGGGTACCTGAGGGGCGGAGGTCCCTGAGATTTGTAGGGCCACTTTCTGTAGCTGCTTCAACTGTGAAGAAAATCTGCCATTGCAGGAGTCAACTTGACACTGCACAGCAGCCCTGCTCCGGCTCCAAAGAAAGCAACTTTTCTTTTTAATTGATTCCCAGAGGTGCCCTCTTCCTTCCAGACCCTGACCTAACCCTATAGGGAAGTTGTGTATCTAGTTCTTCAGTGATATTCCTTTTCTAAGAATAGCACTGGGAAGAATTTCTCTGCCATGTTTGTCATCTTCCCTTCTTTCATTTGGCTCACTGGCTACCCAAATTTGCCCACATTGGCATTCTCAACATTCCCCTCCACCCAAGAACAACAACCTCATTGAACAACAACAACAAGAATTGATGATAAAACAAACAAACAAAAAAAAAACAAAACCAAAAAAAAACCACACACATAGCTTGAGTGATACAATACAGAGACAGCCCAAGCTTTTTGGTGACTTTATACTAAAGTGTGAATGACTGAAACATGCATACCTTCTCCAGTCTCCTTTGTGAAAAGTAGGTTTTCTTTTGTATATTTTTATTTTAAAGAAGTTTGCCCATTAGCCTGAGGTTTTAATGAGCCACTGGATCAAAATGAAGCCTTTCTAAGTGCATAAAGTACTTCAGACCACAGGGTCATTTTTTCTGAAACCTTTGGCACTACACCAGTAGGCAGCCACAGACAGTGCCAAAAGGAATTAGACTCTGGACTGATTTCCATGTATTAGTTGTTTCTCCCTTCTTCAAAATCTATCAAATGTTCAAACCTGCGGATACAAACAGGAACACACTGGGGAGAAGAGTCTCAGGGGGCGGAAGACCTTCTACTCCTGTCCCATGCGCCTCACCTCCTCACACACGCACACTCCTTCATCTCTCACCTTGCCAGGGACCTGCGCCAAGGTGAATAGCATCCCAGTGGGGCTAGAGGCACTAACAGAGACCTGCTGCTTCTTCAGCTCCTGGAAGTGCCAACCTCTCGCATGCCCAAACCTGATCCTTCTACAGGACACTCAGCCAGGGCCTACAGCGAGTGACCCTCCCATTAGAGGCGCTGCCATCATCACCTGCCCAGGCCTGAAGCCCGGCACGCAGAGCCGCGGCGTTCACCCGACCGCAGCAACCCAACCGGCTCTTCAGGCCTCAGTTCAGGCGAGCACAGGACCCTCTATCTGGGGCTCTTTGTTCGCCGCTTTCCTGGTTCCTGCTCTTAAACCTTCCTCCCAGCAGCCCCCACCAGCGCACCGACCTGCAGGAAAGTTGCTCCCGAGCTGTGGAGGGGCGTCATCGCCTCCTAGCAACGCTCCTAGCAACCGGATAACATCTGCTCCCTCTGGTCCAATGCGAGCTGAGAACAGCTGCGCGCCCGCCTCGCGTTGCGAACCCCGAGCGAGAGGCTCTTCAGAGACTGGAGGGAAGGACCTGCAGGAGCCAGGGCTGCCCGCCGAGCTGCAGTTGCCGCCGCTGCCGCCGTCGCTGTCGCCGTCAGTGCCCTTCTGAAGAGTGACAGCGCCGTAAAAGCGGGAGGGAGCACCGAACCCCGCGCCTTTATGAATCAGGTGCATGCGCTGGTCTCCTGGTGAGTGGACCCAGCTTGCAAGGTATGTCTGAACTTATCCAGCCAGGTGCCCGCCTCAGGCTCAGAAAAGACTCGTTCATTGAGGGCGTGGATCGGGACGTGTTCTGGGATCCCACTCCGCCCCAGCCATTGAAGAGTAGCTAGCTGGTGGTCCCGAACAATATGATTTGCTTTTTCTTCTTTAAATCTTGGGATTGTTCTTGCAGATGCCCCTGCCCGTCGCTGTTAGGTTTGTGCTGGGAAGTTTTCATTCCTCCCTGTTTTTCCTTTGACTTTATTGCCTGTGTGCAGCGAGGAGAGATGGAAGCAGTGAGCTCCCAAAGAAAACCTGTGGTTAAGGCGAAAAGGATAGTGTAGCTTCGGCTAATTGAATCAACACGTATGGAGAGCAACATTCTTAGGTCCTGCTCTGGAAAGGGTCCATTTGGCTGGGAGCAGCCAGTTCACTGTTACTCAATCTCCTGAAAAGTAACCATAGTAACTCACCTCTCTTTTGACGGGATCCTCCTCATTGGCTGCCTATCTTCCTTTGGAAAGCTCATCTCTCTAAATATAGAAGATGATGAGATCTGTAAGCATACATCCATGTAAAAATAAAGGTGCAGTTAAACATGGCCCTTTAAAGAAAAACTGTCTTCAAAGATAAAGTACCCTTTGACAATTTCAAATCTTGTGAGAAATAGTGTGTATTCCGGTGAAAGATTGAGTAAGTCTGTTTTAACTGCTGAATTGTTACTTTAGAGAGGATATTTCTTGAAATCATACAAAAATCTGGCATTTAAAGAACTAATTATATCTGTCTTTAAAAAATCAACCTACTAATAACATCCCCCCCCAAAATTGCCCAGTAGATATTTGATGAGATGTTATTCATTTCTTTCCACAATTTCTTAGAATAGTTAAGAGTCCTCATGTTTACAATTAAATTAAATGGAGAACATTATAGTAACTGTGTATTTTTGAAGGTTTACTTACTTCTTTGGTCCAGATCAACTCCACCTCAAACATCTTAGTGTCTTCCTATTGCATGCCTTCTCCTGACTTGATAACCAGTTCAGGTCAGTGCAGTTCTGACTCTTCCAATGTTATTTGTTTCTCTCCTTGTTTCAAAATCTCAGGTAGCCATTCATGAGTCTGAGGCTTTGAGAAATGCTCACTGTGAAAAGGGGAACTTTCACCAGATTTTCTGAAGCTGTTCTAGAAATACACTTTTCAGATTGATTCAGCATTACCAGGTAATCACTAGCTTAAAAGAAATTACTGTTCAAATATGTATCCAGAGAAATAAATGCTAATGCAGCATTACCATAACTTACAAGATCAATATAAGGGGTTGTTTATATAGATGGTTGCTGGGTAGAAGTCAATAGAGGTTTTCTGTAGAAAGGACATTTGTGGGCTGGCAGATTTTCCTCTTGAAGACTCATATGAGTAGGGTGGGGCCAAATTAGGTAGCCTGGCTTGGGGAACATGTCAAGCGGAAACCTTATGAGCACGTTGGTACATGTCCGAAATGAAGGCAATAAAGAGAGCTGTCTGCAAAAAGAGAATGTGGTGATTTTTAAAATTTAATTTGCATTAAAGTCATTGTGATAGAAACCCATGAGTGTCAAGTATTTTAACTCAATTTTCAGAATATAACATAGTCTTTTACTGAGTGTTCATCCCTCCAGTGTTGTGTAACTTCCACATGTACTGAGCTATCCATGTGCAGTTCCTGTAGGTAACCAGTCTAGCAGATTATAATTAAATACATAAAAATATACCATGGCAAATTTCTTCTCTTTCCTTACCTCCTTTTGCAAAAATAAATAATTAAACAATTTTATTCAGAAACCTATTTGAAAATTTATTCTAATCTGGTTGTTTAGTTTTTATGGATGTCATAAGACTTTACAAGTACTGGTCTCTTTGATCACTTATTGAAATATCCATAGCTTAATAATTTTAAGCACTGAAGATGAATGCTTGAGTCCCAAAATGTTTGTTTCATTAGTCTTTAGCACCACCCACCTGTTTTCCTTCCTCCATCATAATTACTACATTTTATGGTGAGAAACAAATCCAAAGAGACCAAAAAGATTTACTGTCAGCTGTCATGCGATGCATATAGAGTTCTAGTCATGCTATCAATCTGAGGAAAGTTTGAGTAAAGCAACCATAAGTATTGGCTCATGTATATGCATTATTAGTCTTTGCATTAGTAATTTATATACATCCTATCCCTATTTAATATGCGTAGAAGTTTAAAACCATTCAGGGTCCTTCAATTTATGTGAACGAGTCTGCTCTTTCATTGAAACCACTGTCATAATCAAAAGGTCAAGTGAATGGAGTTCTTAAATTTTAATTTTGATTCTATCATGAATGTATAATGTGCAGAATATTTACTGTGCAATCTTGATTACCATATCTATTTAAAGTCATTCACCAGAAAATATTATCATGGTGTTTTAAATAAAGGAAAACAAATCATTATAACCTAAGCATTTAACCCTAGAGACATTAGTAGATTCTAAGAGCATGAAAAAATATTTCACCAATTTGTAATTAGCCAGTGTAGCTAGTCTCTCTTGTCAATGTAACTAGTCACTCTTGTCAATGGAAAGACCAGCTGTACTTGAGCATATCATATCTTATAAAGAGGAGTATACTTAGGGTGCTAAGACTTAAGGCTGAGATCAAGTAAGTTATAACTGAAATCAAGTTCTAGTTTCAATTTTTCATCCAGTACTCTATTTGGAAGTTTTTAGGTGTTTATGAACATCATTCTGAATCCAGTTTTATGTCATGTTACTTTCGTGGGATTTAGAAGATGCTTTAAAACATGGAGAAATGTTGAAAGGTTTAAGATGCTGAGGCCATTGCGTCTACATCTGGGCTTTCCACTGAGGACTCATGCCAGCTGGCTTTCACTGTCAAAATACCAACATCCCAGCAGTAGCTCTAGAGCCAAGGCACAACTGGTTTAGATTGTTGTACCTGTCAAAGCAATATGCTTCAGAACCCCAGAAAAAGCCTATATAATGATTTCAGAATCAGGGGGCAAATTTACCATAAATGTGCAGTAAAAAACTGAAGAAGTACACCTTTAGATATTGGGAGAGGCTAATTTTTGTCAGCGCTCCCTGCCTTCCATCTTATTTTTTAATAAATTGTCTATCTAGATAGTCTCAATACATTGCATTAATGTCTCTACTTTTTAGTCTAACACAATTATTTTTTAAATTTTTATGATTAAATTTAACAGGCTAAAAGCAGTTATCTAGTTTGCTGCCATAATTCTCAGTAGGAATGGTAGGAGGATATTAACAAAGGATCTGCTAGTGTTATGTTCAGTATTGTAATGTAACTATACTTAGAAAAAATTAAACCTTTTCTCATGCTATAAGGTGTAAAAGTAAAATGCAAAAGTAAATCTTATTGGTAGGGAGAAATATATGGGTCTTCTAAATATTAGTGATAATCAAGAGGGGAGGAGAGACAGGGAACTGGGAAAATACCCTCCATGGTGGTGTATCAGACTTTGTGTTGTTTTTAAAATGTTTCTTAAAAGGGGGCATGGGTTAAGATGTGAAGAAAAGTTGGGGATGTGGCAAAGAGAATCAGGACTCAGAAACCTGTAGTCTTATTTTACTGCTTTATGGCTCAATATCTAATGTGGGGGATAAGACATCTACTGAGTGGTATGCGTGAATTGAACACAACGTAAATTAAAGAAGTATCTATTACTCTTTAGAATAAAGGTGCCCTGTGAATAAAGAACATTTTATCACCAGAACAACTCCAGGTGGTGACATAAATGAGGCAGTTATGAGTGAGGGCAGAGAATTAACCAACTCCAGAGCAAGATGTTTGAGGGCATGGCACCCAAAGATATGAGGGTCTACTGTACAGTACAAGTTTATATGAGGGACTTGAGTATCTATAGATTTGGGTATCTGTGGGGGCCCTGGAACCAGTGCTCTGATATTGAGGAATGACTCTGTATTCTTAGTGAGTAAAGTTAATGATTAGTTCTAATTTATGTTTTTCTACAACACTTCTGGATATCTGGCTTAATGTTTTTGGTGATATACCCAAACTCAATGGTAGTATCAAAGTGGAAGAAAATGAGGGTGATACAAATGAGGTACTTTTGAAAAGACTACTGCTTTGAACATTGGGGTGCATGGATCTTTTCAAATTAAGTAAATTTGTAAAATTAAGTAAATCTTTTCAATTTGGATATATGCCCAGGAGTGGGATAACTGGATCATATGGTAGCTGTATTTTTAGTTTTCAAAGGAATCTTTGTACTATTTTCTATATGACTATTCAGTTTACATTCCCATCAACAGTGTGGGAGGGTTCCCTTTTCTCCACACCCTCTCCAGCGTTTATTGTTTGTAGGTTTTTTTTTTTTTTTTTTTTTTTTTTGTATTATGGCCATTCTTACTAGTGTAAGGTGATACCTTAGCACTATTTACAATAGCCAAGAGGACATGGAAGCAAAGATGTGGTACATATATTCTTCCTGGGTGTCTCAGTGGTAAAAGAGTCCACCTGCCAATGCAGGAGAAGTGGGTTTGATCCCTGGGTTCTGTCCCTGGCTTGGGAAGGTCCCCTGAAGAAGGAAATGACAACCCACTCCAGTATTCTTGCCTGGAGAACCCCATGGAGCCTGGTGGGCTATAGTCCATAGGGTACAAAAAGTTGGATATGACTTAGTGCCTGAATAGCAGCAGCAGCAGGTGCATATATACAATGGAATATTGCTCAGCCTTAGAAAAGAATGAAATAATGCCATTTGCGGCAACATGGATGGACCTAGAGATTGGCAAACTGAGTGAAGTAAGGCAGATAGAGAAAAACAAATATCATATGATATCGCTTACATGTGGAGTATAAAAAAGGGTACAAGTGAATTTATCTACAAAACAGAAATAGACTTACAAATGTACAACATAAACTTATGGTTATCAGGGCATAAGGGGGGATAAATTG